CCAACCGCAGAAGAAGAAGATGCACGTGAAACACAATTCTAAATGTTTCCCACTGATTGGGCTGATTATACGTGTATTTCAATGACTTCCACTTACCGTATGGAAAGTCAATCAAAAGTGAACATAACACTTCCACAATATTAGTAGGAAATGTTATTCTGGACAACATTGTTCCCAGGTGCTCTGTGTACAATTGTCAACTACAAGTGACTTGCTACATAAATAAAGTAGTTAGTGATTAAAAGTTTACGCTGTTTTGTTTGTGTCGGGGGGGGGAAGATTGTTTTTGTGAGTTTTTTTTGTGAAATACAATATGACAGGAAAATATTTGACTTGGAATACTTGCTGACACAAAATTCTACACAGTAGTTTAAACTCAACAGATTAATTTCACTTGACTTAGTGTAAAATGAGATTTAAGTTGAATAGCACATTTTATGTAAGAGACATTGAAAAGTCATTAGCAAACAACCTGGCCTGCTAGCTGATAACTTATATGCTATGTCTTGTGCCAAAAAAGTATGCTAATGATGCTAATTCGTTACATAAAGTACAGTGTATTATCTCCACTATGTACCTATGATGTAACACTATAGTGTTAAACAACTGACATTTTATTCTTTAAGGCCTGATCCTTTTCCCACAGAGATCAGTTTTACATTATCCTGATTACAAATTGGCAAGGCATAAATATTTTTCCTAAATACAAGACCAATTTTTAAATGTTTATCCTGGCTGTCTCTGTAGCGTTTCTATTAAAAATATCGCAGAGCTCTCATTCAGTGAAACTAGTTCAGCATCGGTCAGCCAGGTGTCGTTAACATTGCATTGCAAAGCCGGTATTGGAGTGGTCCCAAACAGAAAGGATGCCAGCCACAAATGGCTCAGTTTTTATTCCATGCCCTCTCCCACATGGGACAGCTCGTGAGCAAAGTTATGCATGTGCTTTAGTGCAGGCAAAACTAGGCCCTTAGCAAGTCCAGACTCCATCTACATCAGGTACTTTACCTTCTGATCTTCAACTGTCTCCTTGGAGATAGCTATGCCGGCCAGTAAGGTGAACCGGCCCTTTTCATATAGCTATGGGGGCTAATCTATTTACGTTGTGCTCACAGCGTGCTAGGGGCTCTACAGACTAACGAAGGTTTTATCATCGACACACACGTCAATTCCACCGTTTTCTGTGGCTGGAGCTTTCAGAGGAGACTCTGAAAACCAAGGTCCCGTCTGCTCTGTGTGGACGTTAAAGAACTTGTAGTATTTTCATAACTCTAAATATTTACCTTAGGGCAAAAAGGACACTATCTCCATTGTCATACAGCTCTACATCAGCTGTACCTACCGAACTTCAGTAAAGCTGTTTGTAGCTGTAAAGGGTGTGATCCTATGCAGATAAACATAACCCTTTGCTGCTAAACAGTTCCATTGACTTCAAAGGGCCTAATCGTGAATAAATATAGGAATAAATACAAGGATATATGAACATTTTGCAGGATCAGGGCCACAGTATGTAAAGTGTCCTGGAAAAGTCAAGTATCACTATAATTCTTAAACCGTTCTGCCTTTTATTCACACTAAAAGCCAACATAATACCAACTTCCAGTCAGAAGAACATGCGTTATGCATTTTCCCTAAAGGAAAGCAGAAAAGCTAGGAAAAACAGAATCAGAATACAGGACTTGTGTACAATTCAGATTAAATATGTAGCATGTAATGGGCAGGGCTGAACTATAATAAAACTAAATATTCATGAATATTAACAATCATGTATGTGTTAAAAGAAACCCAGGAACAGCAGGCAAGAATGGAAAAATATTGTTAACCTCTGCTGCCATCTGCTGGCATTGATGTGCCAATGCATGCTTACTCCTAAACCAGAGAACATGGATGGTGATTGTTATGCCAGGGATTTGGTCAGTTACACTGTTTTTGAGTTGTGTGAAATATTCACATTCAGCTTCTGCTCTGACTGATCTTGTGTTTGTGGCTCGATACGTGCTGCATGTGTCGACGCAGAGCAGGTAGCTAAACAAGTAGCTACTACGTGCCAATGCTCCTTGTTCCTCACATCAGCTATTCTCGTTGCCAGCAAGCCTAATGTCCCATCAATTTTATTTGAGACTTTTCAGGAGGGAGGTGTGCGGCTTGCTGGGTTGTAGTGGGGGTATGTTTTTGGGGGGAAGTGGGGGAGTAGGGCACATACCAGACATTGCAATTGCTTCCCTCTGGATGTTTAATTTTGTTGCTCTTCTTTTAAAATATTTTTTACTGGAAACAAATCTTCCAGCAGATGCTTGCAAACTTCCTGCCCCAGGAAACCAAATGGCCAGGTTCACAGAGCATTGTTGCAAACCGAGGTCCGGATCCGTAGCTGATGTAAATCAGCATTATGGAATGTTGCCAGCCTTCGGGATTTTTATCCTGAGTCCTGGGATATTTGTGTTCAACCCTTGAGAAATGGCAATACTGGTTGGCTCATTGGCTTCAGGGGAGCTGCCGCAATAGGATCAGGCCCTCCAGGCCGTGTGAGTCTCAGAAAAGTGGCTATAGAGAAGGTCACTTTGCAAAGGTATTGAGGCCCCCACTCCAATCCCCTGAGAGGTGCTATTCCTCCTGGCTACTTCACTTTCAGCTAGTTGACTAATGTTGATTCCTAATGGTCTACTAGCAATATCTGCAGACACTGGTTGTCGGGCCCAGCTCTTTCCCTCCAGTGGCACCATGACTGGCTCCTTGGTTCTCTCTCTCTCTGAAACAACCCCCATCTCCACCTTCTCTCTCCAGGTTTCAGAGTAGCAGCCGTGTTCGTCTGTATCCGCAAAAAGAACAGGAGTACTTGTGGCACCTTAGAGACTAACAAAATTATTTGAGCATAAGCTTTCGTAGCTCAATTATATATCTCTAAGGTGCTACAAGTACTCCTGTTCTCTCTCCCCACTCTCGAAATCTTGAAGGGAGATCTGAGGCCCCTCAGCTTTTCCTCCAGAAAGGAACTAATCTTTTGGAAGATGCCTATAGCATCCTGAGGCCATCCCTTCCCGCCCAACATCTTGACTGAAGAAGAGGTCTACGTCCCTTCTTTCCCTTCTGAATGTTTTTCTGTGGAACAGGGTCTGACTCTGTCTCTCCTGGTTGCACCAAACAGGTCTGGGCTTTGTGTACTTCTCAAAATCCAAGGGTGTGTCAGCACCACTGCTGGGAGGTCTGATT